AAAGGCACAATTTAAAAATTCCTTTAAAAATGTTTATGTATGTAATACATATATACGTAAACATTTTTAAAGGAATTTTTAAATTGTGCCTTTGAAATTATTTGTCTATGGATCACTCCATTGCCTATGATTTCTCAGCCATCATCAGGTATACCCAGATGTTCCAGAGTAAGATAATCTAACCTATGAATAGTCTTAAATTATAATAAAAATTTTAACAAATAAAGAAACTGACATGCTTTGTTTCATATACATTTAATTAAACATGTATATTTTTATTTTAAAGTTCTCTTCATAATTTTGGAGCTAATATTATAACCTCCCTCCCACCCCCCGCCAAGCTTGTAAATCCCAGGCCCTGTACTTATAGCTAAAAATGCCCCCAAGTGTAGCGTCAAGACCTGAGGTTGATACTCTGTTGGCCGTGTGACCATCCTCTGAGCCTCAATTATCCCATCTTTAATCAGGGGATTAATATCTACACCAGCTACAGGAGAATGCATATACATACGTACATACGTACATATATATACACACACACACACACACACATATGCATGCTCCTATATACATATGTATACATACGTATACATCTACATTATACATGTTAGAAAACATATGTATCTATTTTTTAATTGTTACCCTTCCCCTCTATATTCACTGTTGCCTGAGGGAATGGGCACTTCAGGCTGGTAATTGGGTCCTTGAGGGCAGATTTTTGTCACCTGACCCTGCGCCAACACACACACATACGCACATTTGAGCCCCCTCCCTCACCTCATGTAGACGCCAGGGGGCACCATGGTGGAGAAGAACTGCTCAGAGGCGGCCAGGAACTCAGGGGAGATGCTGGGGTCCAGAAATGGCTGGTACCCTGGGGGAAGGGGAGAAGAGAGAGGACAGAATTTAGCCCTTAAACCACCCCAGCCTACCGTACACTACCCCCCAAATTCCCAGCCTCCCTCCCCATCCCTTACCTGCATACTTTGGGGGCGTTTTCTGCAGGAAGCTGGGTAGCCACTCATACAGAGCGATGTTCTGAGGAGCAGGAAGAGGGGTAAACGGAAACGCAGGGAGCGGGGAGGCTCAGACTGGAAAAGCTGGCAGGGCGGCGGGGAGGTCGGGAGGGAAGGAGGGGGTAACCTGAGCGCCAGGCCTGGGCAGTGAAAGGAGAAGCTACTCAGGTGTGGAGGCCTGTCGCCAAGGTGCGACTCTGGGTGGGCCCTTTGAGGAACGAGGGATTTGTAGGAGCCAGGGCTAAATAATAATTACAAACATCTCTTGTACAAATAGCGCTTTGCCTCCTTACAATTTCCAGGGGCTTTCCCTAGACGTTAGCTCTCTGGGGTGGGGGGGTGTCCTCTTCGGAAAGGGTGTGTCTGGGTGAGGGCTGTCTAAGGATGGGGACTCTGCGGGGGTGGGAGTCTTCCGCGGACAGCACGTGGAGGCGCCGTGAGGAGCTGTGGCGGTGGGGGAACGTGCGGCTGACCTGGTAGGTGGCGATGACCCTCTTGCGCGCGTGCTGGAACAGCTCCTCGTCCCCCCAGTGCGGGTGGTTGCGGGCCAGCCTCTGCGCCCACAGGTTGTGGTAGCGGAACCACAGCAGCCCCAGCGCCTGCAGGAAGGGCTCGCGGTTCCCTCGCTCCGCCCCGAAGTCTGCATCCGACAAGCGAGGCCGGGAGGAGATGGGGGCAGCGTGACCGACGGACGCCCAACCTCGCGGACCCCCACCCGCCCTCC